TAGGAGGAAGGCACTGAGAAGCTGGGAGATTCAAATTCAAACAACTCCAGCCAATCCCTGACAAGCATGGGCACAGGCAGCTATTGCCTAGTGAGCTGAGTGGTAACCAGAATTTAGTCAATTGGGATCAACTGTGAGATTATTCGAAAACCATATTAAAAGAGAGTTATAATCAATAAAAATTCACTGTTGCTGCGTGAACCACAGAGTCATGTCATGTCCATCTCAACTGCAACAACCTGTGAGTCAAAGAACTTGAGTTCAAGAAATCTGGATGGTTAAGTATTGATCAAGGATACCTGTCATTTTAAGAACTCTGTGTAAGAAAGCTGGCACTCAGTATGTGGAAAGGCTATTGAAATGCGACAGAGAGTTCAGTGGCCTAATTACCATTATATGGAGCAACAGCACTGGAAAGAAAAGGAGCAGACTTTGCTTTTTGAGATCATATCTGCCCACAGAATGCTGTCTTGTTTTTGTTTATCACATGTATAAAGCATCCAGAAAATTTGGCAGGATTTATGATAACTTCTCTTGGCATTTGGTGACTTCAAAAACTTGAATTCATGTTAGTTTGTTGCCGATTCTGAATAGCTGTCAGTTCTTGGATACAGTTCCATCTTTTGTAGATACTTGACAGGAGGATGCCTAGAATTCATAAGTAAAAGGTACACTAAATAAAGTTAAATGAGTTGCCTATCTTGGAAATGTTCTGCCCAGCACAGAATCCAAATCTGCTCCACAGTTCCATATTATTAGTTAAGACTGATCTTGAATTTACTTAGCTGAAAACATATCAAATATCAATTCATCAGACCCCTATTATTGGCAAGGCAATACAAATCCTGAACTAGGATTTGCACTGAGGAAAGAAGGAAGTGCATTTCCACACCAATGAATTAACTTGTTGGCAATAGAGTGACATTGATCCAAGAAGAGACAGAGACCATTTTCTTTCCTGCTTTTTACTTTCTGATTAATGAATTTCTGACAGAAAATTAGATAGCACTTTAATTTTAATTAATTGTATTTTTGCTTTTGCATCAAAGAAAGCTGTAGGAACACAGGGAAGTTGCCTCCAACAACAGAATCAATGAAAAGGAAATAGGGAAGGATTCTCAGTAGATTATGTGGTCCAGTATTTTGCTTCAAACTAGGAGCAACATGATTTCATTATTTATAACAGATGTTTGTCTTTCATGTTCAATGAAATGCATGGTGGGACTTTAAGGGGAATAGCAGAGAGAAATGCTCTTCTCAGATGCTGTCTAAGAACTGATTTAGATGATGAACTCCACTGTAAATACCTGTCTTTGGAGATAACTATGTAATAACATGTCAACACATGTCTTATTTCCTGTCATGCTTCTTTGGTCCATTCTCTTCCCATTCAAAATTATTCATTACTGAAGATTTTTCAATTTCAGTTGCACTCAATTTCTTTGCACTTTTCTTAGCAGAGTTTATGTCATATTCACCCTACAGATGGCTACAGAAATTGACAAATAATAAAAACAATTTAAGTTCAAAGGGGAAGAAGTCGCAGGGTCCTCTTATCTGAACCTATTTGTGGAGAGAAGAGGAAGGAAATATTAATTTTATTTAGTTATTGCTACACCAAGCTTGACATCTTGCTTTGCTGTTGGTGTGTTACTACTACTAGGAAAACTTCACACTCTGTCCACTGTTTTGGGTCTTCTGGCCCTTCTCCCTGGACTCAGAAGATGTAGATTTCCTCCAGTATCTTCTTACATTGTTTATCACCTTACATTGTTTAAGTGCTGTAAGTTCATTGTTAAGCAAAAAAAAAAGAAAAGCACCATGACTTCTGAAAGCCTTTTGAAGACTTCTTAAGTTAGCTACAGACATGTAAAGATCTAAATGCTGTTAAAACCTGTGTTGTCTTCAGTCAGAAAGCAAACACTCATCTGAGTTGTACTCCCTACAGAATACAAACAAAAATCATACTAGATTCTTCTTCATGGGTGATTATATAAGTCCTCGATTTTTTTTATATATCTGAAAGCACACAAACATGTTTATGGCTCACTACCCAAAATGCAGTATACCCTAACAGTCAAATAGCTCGCCACATACAAAAAGGTTTACCTCTAGTAATAAAACCAAGCCTGTCCTGATAAGGCCCCCTTGTCAAATGACCAGACCAACAGAGAATGTGATAAACTGTCTGTTGTTTAGAAATACAATATTTTCCATGGACTTTATTCCACCTGTGTTAACACTTTTGGCATCAAACAGCTGACAAAGTAGCTAATAAGGCATCTTTAACTGAGTTCCTTAAAAAATATCAAGAATACTGAAGCAAAGCTTCAGTAAATGTCTACAAAAGCTTAAAATTATATGTTCAACCTCCCTTTTTTTCAGAAAGATACCGTGGAAAGAATTGTGTTTGAACAAGAAAAAGTTTTGTCATTTTTTCTTTGAAATATAAATACAATTTAAATCCTTCAGACAAAAGGTAATTTATTGCATGTTGCACATTTTAAATGGTACTGTTTGGAGAACTGTTCCTACTCTCAGTCAGAGTAAAACCTTAGTTTCTTCTCTAGCATTGAAGCAGTAATAAAACTTTCAATGAGATGATGTATGATGCATGTCCAGCTATCACATTTGTATTAGTACATCTATACATAGCATACTATCAGCAATTTAACACCATTCCAAATTATTGTGAAGGTGTTTATTTCCAATCTATGACTAAATAATTGGTATAGAAACCAATGGAATCAGCTTAGATTTGATGAGACCAAAATTTCTTAGTCTTAGCTATTCTGGTAAAAAAATCTATCCTCACAAATAAATAGTCTGAGAAAAAAAAACCTTTCACATTGCTATTTAATCAGAACCATAAATAATGTGCCTTAGCTCCTCAGCCAATGATGCATCATTAATGACATGACAGATTAAAGACAACAATATCGCAAAATGTTTTTTAAAAATCCAGTCTCCTAATATTGACCTAGCATATTTTCTTTATGTCAACTTTTGTGCAGAGGTAAGTGTGTAATATTGACAGCCCAAGCCAATATTAATTTTAAAATTCTCTTATTTTCTGCACTGCACAACCTAATAAAATGGTATCATACCTTCAGAAAATAGGATTAATAACAGCATATTCAGAGGATGAAAAAATTCTTTTCACAAGATTGTGGAGGAGTAACTGCTTACCTCAGCAACTGTGTGTTGCTGGGAGTAGACAAACCAAGAAACTGCCCTTCTAAAGGGATTTTAGCTTGCCTTTCTTTGAATAAATGTGATTCACACTGTATCTGTCCATCTGTAGGATAATGCCCAAAGATGATCTGTGCTTGATGTGCAAATGCTAGGTCTATCATTTGCATGCACAAGTGATATGCTGGGACCCATTTGCACTTACGTATGTAGAAGATGACATTTGAAAAACTGGCTTCTAGAATCATTCCTTCTGTGAATGTTATGCAGCCATCTGTACAAAAGTAACAACCAAATACTTTGCCATCAGCAGAGTATTGGCCTTTCAGATATTACTGGTTGAGAGTAGGGTTTTTTGGTACAACTTCATTTCAACAGTAAATTGTTTTTTCAACTAATTTTTAAACACAATGTTGGTTTTCAGCTGAATCTTTCTACTATCAACATTGCCAGATTTCATTGATCTGATATATGCTAATGTTCATGTCCTGTGACTTCAATTTTCTCCACAGTGATAAGATCAGGGATTCTTGTAATACATCCTAGCAGCTCACTGAGGGAAATGAGGGTCTGTAGCTTGTGACAGGACCTACAACCTCCATAGCATTTTGGTGAAAAAGTCTTCACCACGTTTCTTTTTCTTACTCCATTTCAGAAAACATAAAAAATTCAACAAGGAAAAAAATTTTCTCTAGTCCATCCAGTGAATCTGAAAATCCAAGTTTGTCACATAATGATGCATCATTTTTCTAGGTGGGAACTGTCCCAGGACAAAAGTCCTATTCAGAGAAAGTATTTGGGACAAATTGTCAAAAGTATTGCTTTGTCTTAAGATCAATATTAAGCCACCTGCTCAAACCAGGGGCAAACTGGTCAGCACTGTTTTCAAGGAAGCCCATTGCCACTTGATAAATGGAGTGGATGGACAAAGTACACAATGAGGGAGGCATGAAGGGCAAGAGCTCAGATGATGAGAAGCACATATGGAATCCATGGGTCATTCACTGTACAAAATGCTCAGTATGTTAATATTGATAATAATAATCTATCTATCAGAGGCTATGCTGTTGAGGCACTACAGTATGTCCAGTTACAGATATTAAAATACACATGCTGCATGTTAGATTACACTTGACTCAATAACCTAAAACCAGGTGATAGCCAATGGGAGAACCCATAAAAAAGTCATGAAAACAAGCATGTGGCAATATTCCACAATCTGCTGAAATAGCATACATGCCAGGACATGTTTCTGCCTTTACACATTGTGCCAGAGAAGTTAATTAAAAAGTGGAAGTGACTTGTATTCATTATATTACTCTGAGTAAATACTCATTCCATGTTATCCTTCCTCACTGTTTTATATGAGACCAAGATCATGTGTGCACATGTATATACAGACTGAAGACATGAATAGGATATTTTCAATGAAGTCTTTCAATCTTTTGCTGGGAAAAAGAAAATACTTTCAAGTTTTGCCTATATCTTTAGAAACAATTTTGCTCTCAGCTGTAAATACTACTTATTGAACCAACCAGAATTTTACCCATGAATCAGAAAAAAACCTCAACACAACACTAACCTATTCAGCCTAAGGAAATACTTCTGCAGAGTGATAGCTTTCAGAGAGAAATGTTGCATTAGACCTTACTTGCAAAACCTCTACGGAGAGCCAATGTTCCCTTGGGAGAACATTGTCCATGCTCCCCTTAAGAGCAGATATTTGAAATTTGTCCATTTTTAACCCTTCTTTCTTTCTCACCATGCCTGGTTGTTTACAAAGAACAATGAAGCAAATTTGTCCCATTTTGGTAATGCTTTATTCACCCATCCTACTTCCATAGCATTTGATATAATCTTTCTGATCTGGCGAATTATTCTACTTGATGCAAAACAATAACAAATCAAGATCAAGAAGCCAGTGAACCTGGGATTTTCTTCTGTATATACTTGAAAATGTATTTTGGTAAATTTGGTCCTCAACTAGCATTACTAGAAGCTGTTTAGCAGTGCTTTTGTTTTGTTACCAGAATACATTCTAAGTCAGATTTTAGCAATAAAGGACATCCAATAAGTAACAGCTTCTGTGAAGAATATATTTAAAATCTTTCCTTGCTCTTCAGGCTGGCAGCAATTTCCATAGAAACAGAGGTGGACATGGACCATTAGCATCAATGAGTCAAATTAAGCTACTAGTGGTCAGATATTTTAATTGAAAAAAAAAAAAGGTTGAATTAACAAAAATCAGAGTTTTAAGATCACCTCTAAAAAAAGTCTTTTAATGTATTCTTCTGCCCTTGTCACACTGGATCTTTGTGGAATGCAGTCACAAATCATTCAGAGCCAGCAGGGAAGCAGAGAAGGAGGAGAACTCTAGATCACATGCAGATCACATGCTGGAAGTAAAAAGCAAAACAAAACACAGATGAAACTTTGGGGTTCTAAAGACCCCAGAATTAAAATGCTTATTTAAAATTACGTTTTGTTAAAGAGTGATTTTTTAATACCTTTCAACAACTGCAAAAAGACTCTTCAGGAATTCACTTATCTTGGAGAGAAGTAGTTATCTCTAGGTTTCAGGGATATTTAGTTACTAATCATATATTCTGTAATATCTTGTTTTACCAGTGCAGACTATCCCCAAAGACATTAAATAAGGAAGTTCAAAGTATCTTATACTATGTAATTGCAAAATGCTGAGCTAGACTTAAGGTCTTTTGAGATTAGTGTTTAACAGCATGGTACAGATACTAAATCTCACATTTCTTTTATTGTGGTGAAGCTCCTTTTCTATTAATGACATTTGTCCAGCTTTCTAAGCATGAGAAGCTTCCTTTGTGGGAAATCAGGGCAATCAAAACCAGTTTTTCAGTGGCTGCTTTAAAGCCTAAGTGTGCATGTGCTGTGCTTTATTACATGAAAAACAATATTCAACTGTAATTTTTTGCTCTTTTGTCTTTATATGCAGTTGAAAATGTATTCTTTCTAGAGTTCATACCCACTGCACAAGGCTTTAAAGGCATCCCCTAGGAGTCTGAGCTGCAAAATCATCCTTCTATTTGAAGACAGAGCAGCAGCATTTCTTCCTAGCAGTGTGGATGCCTAGGGCTCAGTAGCTTCTCCTCTCCTTGGATGAGTTTCACTCCCCTCACAGATGGTTAAAGGATGAAAATTACATGCTCAGTATTTTTTTTTTCAGGAATTCTGCCTTATTTCTACAGTGCATTGATATAAAGGTCAAATTCCATCAGCTTCTGCCAGAGAATTTTCTTCTTTTCTTTCCAGAACACTCAATTAAGCAGTACACATGCCTTTAAAATGTTTCATTTTTTGAGGTTTTGTTAATTTATTTTCTTCCAAAATAAATGTTACCTATGTAAGCCTTTTGTTGATTTCTTTATTTAGCTCCATTATTTCAGCATTTAGTCTTCAGCAATGGGTTGAGTCCTTTCTTTCATTCTCCAAAGCTCTCAGGAGTGAAAAAGAACATCATGTTCCTGTGGACTGCCCAGGACACATGCTGCACAGCTGTGCCAAATTTGCAGCTGACCAATTGGCCTATGCTGCAAGAAGAGTCATTTTCAAAATTTACAATCGTTTATTTTAATGCGTGCCAGAGAGGCCGATTCACTGTGAGAATTCTTTGATTTTATTGACACTTAGAGACTCATCCAGTTCCCAGTGAAGTCAATGGATGTCCTTCCAGTCCTTATAGTGAGACTTGGATGAATGTCTAAGAAGCAGAACTGCTTCCTTGTCACCTATTTTGCTCACTGAGACATACAAAAGCTCACCAATCCCCATTCTGTACCATCTTATAATGGCATTTATCCTGGAATTTGAAGGAATTGCATGAACTTTAAAGGTAGCTAGCAAATTCAAGGGGGCAAATGATTTAAACTAATAAAATCAGCAGTGATAAGCTTGTCTTGGAAAGAATAAAATTGGCATTGTTTTATTTGGTTTTTATCCAAAAATAACGTCCCTTTTCGAGTCCTAAGCCCAGCTCAACTGAATATGGTGGCTTGTCTGGGTAAAGAAAGTACACAAACAAGGAAATGTTAGGCATCTAATCTAAAATACAATGCTGTGATTTCCTAAGCAGAATTTTTAAAAGAGTAAAAGCAGGCATAACTCAACCATAAAATGTTTTGATTAGCATTGTATGTCTGTAACTATTTCAGATGGAATATTTCAGTTTACAGTGCATATAAACAGGCTTATGAAAACTAGAATTTACAAAGATGAAATCATAATCTGGAAGACTCCAAACCCAGATGACATTTGAGTCTGAAGCCAATAATAGCATCTCCTCTGCAGTGTAAAATCAACAGGGCAGTAGCAATGTTCATACTTACTTGTATGCTAGCTTACTTGCATAAAAAGCATGTATACTCTACATGCTCTGATGCCATTTTCTGGAGCATGCAAAAAGAAATGCTCACATTCAGGGCTTTTTTGCACCAATCTAGAAAGTTATTGGAATAAGACTCAAAACAAAAAGATAGAAAGTTGCCTTTTGTAAGCACAAACATAGCTGACTTCTCAGAAGTGTATCTGAATTATTGTGACATCTCAAGAAAGGTGTATAGCAGGGAAGTCTACAGGAATGTAAATGCTACCCTTCATAGAAGAATGGGAGAACCACTTAAAATGTTATTACTCAAGGTTCTTGAGAATATCTGTATGCAACAATTTTGGTATGAAGAGCATTAACTAGAATTATAAAGGGGCATTTTCTATTCCCACTTTCACTACAATCTAACATAATTGAACGTGCATTGCTTGAAAAGGTACAAAACATTTTTCTACATTTCTGTAAAAGAAGTGAAACTCTATGAAATTAGTAAAGGGAAACACTAAATTTAAAGCCAAACAAATATAGAAGTAGTCATTTTAGACTGCAAGAAGAAAGGAAGAACAGACTTCCCCCCAAAAAACAAAAAAGGGAAGAATAAAAATCTATGCCGCCTCAAATGTTAAAATTTTATAGTTTTCTTACTAAAATAGTTTTAATTTCCAGTTGTATTGTTTTCCAAAGAGAAAACAAAGTCAGTCATAGAGAGATTGTGTGGGACAGATTGACCGTGGCTGGATGACAGGTGCCACTCTATAACTCCTCTCCACAACTGGAAAGGGGAGAGAAAACATAACAAAAGGCTCATGGGGTAAGAACCAAGAAATATCACAAACAGATTATTATCATAGGCAAAACAGGCTTGACTTGGAGAAATTAACTGAATTTTTTACTATTGAAATTCACAGCAGAATAATGAGAAGTAAAATAAATCTTAAAAACACCTTTCCCCCCCACCCCTTCCTGCTTTCTAGGATCTACCTCCTCCTCTCCAGTGGTGCAGGAAGGTGAAGAATGGGGGTTATGATCAAGTCATCACAGATTGTTTCTGATGCTTCTCAGGGAACGGAGCCCTTTCATTGCTCCCACGTGGGTCCCTCCACAGGAGACAGTTCTCCACAAACCTCTCCAGTGTGAATCATTGCCATGGGCTGCAGGTCCTCATGAAGGTGCAGTCCTTCAAGAACTGCCTGCTCCAGTGTTCATGGCTAACAGGGTCACAGCTCCCACCAGCAAACCCGCTGCTGCATGGGCTCCTCTATCCACCGGTCCTTCCAGGAGCCTGTTACAGTGCAGACTTCCCACAGAGTCACAGCCTTCTTTTGGGCATGCATCTGCTCCAGTGTAGGTCTCCTCCAGGGTCTGCCGGTGGGTCTCTGCACCCTCAGGAACCTCCATGGCTGCAGGGCCGCAGCTGCCTCACCACAGTCCCACCACGGCTGCAGGGGAACCTCAGCTCTGGTGCCTGGAGCACCTCCTGCCCCTCCTTCACCAGCCTTGGTGTCTGCAGGGCTGCTCTTCTTACTCTAACTCTGCTCTTCTCTGAGCCCAATTACATCTGCACTGTAACTTCTCTTTTGCTTCTTAAGTATGATATCACAAAGGCATTACCACCTCCTCTGGCTGCTTTGGCCTTGGCCAGCGGTGGGTCCATCACACTCCTCTCTATTCCTGCTCTTTCCAGTTCTCAAACAAAAGAAGACAGCTGCAATGAGAAGGACCAAGAAATTACTTTGCATGAGTCACCATATATGGGGATCTATGAAGTCTAGTTGTCACTATAGGAGGGATGCAAAGATATAAAAATAATGGAAATCTGCCTCAGCTCCTGGCATTAGTGCAGTGGCCAGCTAAGATAGCACTCACTGCTTACTCATACCAAAACATCATTAAGAAGGTTTGAGTGGACAGAAGTTTCAAAATCCTAGGTGCTATGTAAGCACAAAGAAAGGTATCCTCCTACTGGGGCAGGAATTGTAAGGTAAAATGAGTGCTTTGAAAATGTGACCAGTGAGGTGAAAGAGAAGAACAGAAAGACAGCAGCTACAGTACACCAAAGAAAGATGCTGAGAAACAGGTCTCAGGTCAGTGTTTCTGCCTAAGAAAATAATGGGCACTTTTCTTACACTGTCTATGGGCTTAGCAGCACATTTAGTCATTTCAGTTCTTCTCTGAAAAAAAGAGTAACTTGTACAGGAGAAGATCATGAAAATGGCAGAGTGTGAAAATGATGTAGGTAGTATGGATGACCATGCATGTGTATAAGGGGCAAGTCACGTCACTGTTCTTGGGTTTTGCTAGGAATATTTCTTTACAATTTCTTTATTGAGAACTATATCATCAACAGTAGTACCAAAAGACCCTGAGGGAGATTGTTTTATACTCATTACCCTCTGTATGCCCTGATTCACTGAGTGAGATAGGTAGTAGATTCAGTACCAATGCCTTTTAGTTATTTCTTGGAAGTACACATCTGGAAGAATGTTTCTGGATTACACATCTGCACCAACAGAACTGAGACTGCTGGAGCTGACCAGGGCTTCATTCTTTACTCTGTCTACCAGCTACACTCATTAAAAAGGAGGCTGCATAAAAATATTCTTAAAGTATTGCAGCAGGCAGTGCTGGTGATGAGGGCAGATGGTTTGCCCCAGTAATCACCAGGTCTGATTTTCAATCACGTTGGTGAACTTTCAGTGGAAGCATGAACCTAAGAGTAGGGGACAGGGAAGTGGCCCCAGAATACAAAAGGACAACCACTCTTCTGAAATCCTAATTGAAGTAGCAATGACACTTATATTGGTCATTAAGTCATCTTTTTGAGAATGTTTATTAAAAAGGAGCCAAATTGTTCTTTTAGCTTGTTTGTAACAATGTCTCCCATTGCAGAAGCAACAAATGTTCAATTAATAAATGAAGTATATGAATAAATGAATGGTTTATATCTGTTTAATATGGGCTAGCCATTTGCTTAGAAAGTTCTTGATAAGGATCTTAGATACGGAAGAGGAAATTGTTACTAGATCCTTGTTCAATTATTTTTACTTTCAAAATTGTCTCAATAATATTCACAGACTGCCCACTGAAGAATTCCAACTCTCTTTCTCAGAGATAAGCATACCAACACTCAAGATGTTCTCATAAAAGATTAAAATTCCTTCCCATATGAACAACAAATTAATCATTCATTTTCACATTCTTGCACATTGGAATCAGAAAAAAATAAATTATTAATTACTGTTACACTCCATTTACAAGATAACTATTTTAGTTAATTTTTATTTGATGATGGCTTAAAAACAAATGAGAAAATGCACTGTAAATTTTAGCACACTAGTATATAAAGTGGAATCTACCAGGAACAATGTTAGCACTTAGTGGGGAGATTTGGGGAATAATTCTTCAAAGAAATAACTCTTAAAACAAAAAAGATTTGCTGAAGACTTCATTTTCCTACATAGTAGTATAAAAATGGATCAAAGTGTTTAGGATACTATTTCTGTGGTATTTAGTGCCTATAGGTATTTTCTTACTTCCTGTAGTGGAGAATATGTTTATGTGCATTTGTGATTATTTAATAGGTCTGTGTGGTAATTTAATAATAAAATTCAATTAAATCTTGCCTATTGACTGGATGAATAATTATGCCAAGAATATTTAACACTTTAATTCATAACATTCCAGAAAGGGAATCCTTTAAACAGATTTGTCTGCATTGTTTTGCTAGCAATAAACTCAAATACATAAATAAATTAATGGCTTTAACAAATATGTGCTGGTTCACTTCAGTGGAGAATCTACAAGTAGGCTTTAATGGGACTCAACACAAGGATATGGGTCTATGTGGTTTGATTCCTTTGTGGGACAAGATATGACAATAATTTTCTAAGGAGTAAAATAACTTTTCACACAGGTAAAGTAGGTCCTGAAATTAGAAGGAATATTCAGTGGAATGTACACCATCCAGATTTATCATGCAAGGCTAGGGGTTTAGATCTATGAATTAAAAATTGTATTGGAACATTAAAGTCAGAGAATGTTCTTTTTTTTTTATTATTTTACATGAAACAAGACCCTGATGGACTGAATTAGTGATCCATCACAGTACCACACCAAGATCTTGTTCACCTCTTCTGCAGATGAGAACACTCTACCACATAAGCTGTAGCCAGGTGAGCTGGACATAATGGACTGCAAGCACAGAACTTAAAGATTTCTGCTCAGATTATAATAAAAATAAAGGTTGGTAAGACATTAGGACTGTTGAACTGGAAAAGCTGCAGACTTGCTAATTGAGGCCTATGTTCTGTGAGCACACAAGGGAAGAAGGAATTTGCGCACCTACTCTACTGCTATAGGATAAAGTTAATATGCAAAGTGTGAACTCACTGGCCAAAGACGAGGCTCTGCAGAATCCTAGCAGGTTTCTCAGCATTGCACTGCTCTTCTCCATTGGATCTCCGTATTCCTTGATGCATTATGGAACAGAAGTAACTGCCACTAGCTGGAATCTGACTGCAGGGAAAGCAGTGAGACTCAGACTTTTCATTATGGAAGTCCCCAACTTGATTCTAAGCCTGACTGTCCAGTCGTAGCAACAACCCTGAGGGTTACCATGCCTGCCTTCCCTGCCTCACAGCAATACTGAATCAAGGTCAAGGTGTGCGAGCCAACAGAGGTTTTCATGGAGAATGAAGGCATAAAGAGAAGCAGCACTCCAACAGTACTGACCACAGAGGGAGGAACTGGTTGGTCTAAGCCCTTTACCTACCTCTCATCATACAGGTCTCCAGAGTGACCCTCTTTTTGCAATGCCTGTTCAAATATAAGCATAGCAGGGGCCTGGATCCCACTAATACATCTAACTACAGGATACAATCCAGCAAAAATTAAGAGCTATGGATCACATATATTTCTGTGAAGACACTCCTGCAAAAAAGCTACTATAGAGATATCTTTCATCTCATTTGGAATTTGTGGAAGAATGTTTTTTCTTTTTCTATAAGCACACTGGCCTCATCACCAGCATCAGCTGACATGATGAGATGTCCTTTGACAGAGACAGTCAGGGCAACAAACTGAATATCCTGCTGTCTTCATGGAAGAAGGGTGAAGTCTTCAAGAAATACTGAGGCTTCAGAATTAAAACTCCTATTGAAAGGGAAGTCTATCTGAGCCTACCGCCAGAAATTGCCTCCCCTTCTTGCCAAGGCTCACTGAGATTCCATAGAGTGGCATAAAAATGAAATTAGCCCTGTGCAGCAAACAAGTTTACCAGGCTGAATAAAATTACTTCATTCCCATTTAATTGTTACATTAATGTATAGAACTCTGATACATAGATGATGCAGCCTGACCCTGTCGCTACTACAAGCAGTGGAAGCAAATTAAGGTTGCATTGTATGAAAGCAGAGAATTGAAATGTTCTTTAAAAAATTCAGTACATATGATACTGTCTAGTTTGAAATAAAAGAGGACTCCCAGCTCACAAAAAAACCCTATAGTTTCTTGCAAACTATAATCTCCTTGACTTTTCTTTCAAATAAGGCTCCCTACTCCATCTCAGAAATGCTATTCCAGCATTCTTTGCAACATTTTACCAACCATTAGCAACAACATGTGCACACACAGAGAGAAAAAATACATAGGGGAAGCTTTCAGTAAAACTGAGATTTTTGATGGTGAATTCAACAGGCCCCATATTCCTTCAGCTCTCCTGATTTTAACACTGTAGAGCAGTGCATGAAACACCATGCATGGTGGTTCGCTCAGACCTTCCTCTGTCTCTCCCTACTCAAAGAAGAAATGCTCTCCAAGGACAACTGCTTACAACTTTTTTTCAGAGGTCATTGTACCACACTTACCTCTGCACTTCAATTTTCCTGTGGATCTGTATGAGCCACAGTTATGCTCTCCAGCTTCTTCCATTTTCTTTCCATTTTGAGAGATTGTTGTGGCTGCACTAAGGCACATAAATGAAATTTGAGCAAGGCACACCATGGGCTCACTCAGATTGGAGTTTCTCTGTGTGGCACTTTAGTTATTAATTTATTAAGGCATCTGTGCTGAGTGAGCATTGTGAGAAGACAACCCTGCAGAGATGCTGGCCCTCCTTGGCCCCCCATTTTCTACTTCCTGGCTTTCCAGAAAAAATGTAGACTGTAGTCCTCAGGTGCTGTGGCTAGATCTGAGACAGGAGATTATCTTCCCACAGTTCAGACCCTTGTCAGTAATTCAATTCAGACTCATACAAGAATAGCCACAGTTTCAGAACATGTCACACTGCTTTAATAGCACTTCCTCTCATCATCTTCCAAGAAAATGTTTTGCTGTAGCTGCAATTCTTCTGTCCTGCATTTAACCATGATGTTTCCTACGGTTACCTCACCATATCCCTCTGTTCCCACAGCCTATATATTTTGCATGGTTTTTCTTAAACTCAAGCCATCAGCATTTTCTGCTTCTTTTAAGAAAGTCTTAAAATGTCAAGATTTTTCTTTGTCACATTTTATGGTGAATACTGTCTCAGTCCACTTCTGTACTGAGTTCAGCTAGTTCTTACATCCTCAAGGCTATCACAAGATCTGAGATCTGATTTACGATATGACACAGTTGATGAACTACAAGTTCCCAAAATTGCTTTACTTTAGAAAGCTATGTTTAAGAAAACAGGCCAGAGAGCAGTAGTGTCTCTTAAGAGGCCGGTGACCCTACCATAAGCCCCAGTTGCATCACATCGAGGGAGTACTTTTCAGCAGAAAGTTGCATGAATACATTGCCCTTTGTAACATAGTTTCTGCTTCAGGCAGCTGGCACACTCAAACAAGGATGGTAAGAGCAACAACATAACTCACTTTCTTCATGATTTGCAGGAGATTATGGTATCTTTGCACCAGACACTGATTTTTATTTGCCATCTGAACCTATACTTGTTCAAAACGAACAAATGAAACAAACTCCATACACCAGTAACAAATACTGCTGGAGACTACATGGCTCAAGGTTCATTTTCCTGTCTTGTGAAGGTTATTAAGAGGTGCTTCTTTTCCCAAATACATTCTGTTTCCAAAGTCATAGAAAAGTGAAATACTTGTTCTCATATGAAACTTGTAACAACAATGTACAAATTGGTGGGTTATGGGTAGACAACTACTATCCTTATCTTTGAATTTCCATTATTTTTCTTAGACCTAAAATCTTGCTTTAAAACTGTGGTTTGCTCTCCCTCCCCCAAGGCTCCCCCCACTTTTCTTTGTGGCTTAACAGATAAAGTCAGACCAGGAGGAGGTTTCACCACTTTCACTGCATGTAAAAAACATTAAATAATTCTGTTATTCTGAGGCTTGCTGATAGTATGAAAATGACAACTGAACACCAAGGATAGCATTTTCTTTTTCTGCTAGTAACTGAGGGCTTCTCTGGTTGGGCTTTTCAGTTCAGTAAATTCCTGATGCAATTGTCTTGATATGAGCCTTTCAAAAATTTTTTTTTCTTTTCCCTATTTTTTCAAAGAAAGTACAATTTAAATATTTATTCCGTTTATATTGAAATATATTAGCTCCCATGCATTGGTAAAATCCTATTTTTATCTCATTAAAAAGATTTCCTAGTAGTACATACCAAATAAATACCCTTCTAGACATGTTACATATAATGTATTCACATTCCAAGTCAAAATGAAAGAAATTAAAATTTCATAGAATCACTGACTCTCAGAATAATTTAGGTTGGAAAGGACCACTGGGGGCTATTCAGCCCATTCTTTGTAATTTGCTCCAAGCATGGCTAACTTCAAATTTAGATGATGTAAACAGAAAAAGGTTCCAAACACGAATTGTTCCTATAATTGCTTATTTTACAGTGACATTAATTTAATAGCTTTGTGACATTTTTACAGTAAGACATATCTTTTTTTAGTACAGCAACTATGCTGTTGCCATAAAATGACACAAACGCCCTACTCAGATGGCAGCAAACGCCCTACTCAGATGGCAGCAGAAATAATGATCAGTTATATGTGCATATGTGTTGGTTGGTATGCTTGTGCACTGCCGAGAACCATGATGAATCATCCTGTCCTATAGCTGAAAGGTGGGACAGAAAATCTTCTGTTTGCTGTTCCTTTGGAAGAGGAGTAGGTAGGAAAAATAAAGGCAATTTGCTGCCATGCATTTTCCCCAAAAAAAGTGAAAGGGAAATGTTCACAGCCTTCTCAAATAACTGAGATTTAAGGAAGCCTGACTTTCTAAGGTGCAGCTCACAGCTCCTGTATTATCATTTTGAGCTTGCTCAAATGACAACTGTCATGTTGTGTGATAATATTTGCAATAAAAAGCTTGACATGTTGGAGCTGCACCCTTAGTTAGCAGTAGAATGCATTGATACATATAATTAATCACATTGCAAATTTCTCTCTGATTTTAAAAATATGATAGCTCTGACCCATCAGTTTAAACACCAAGAAATAATTTATTTATCACTGCAACAAAACAAACAACCAAACCAAACAACCAAACAAACACCACCACCCCCCCCCCAAAATCAAACAAAAAACCCAACCAACCAAACAAAAAACCCACCTCCTTTCCTAGTCCAGGAAGCAAGAGGATACTAAATACACTTTACTTTTGACCCTGAATTCCTACTAGCTTCACAGGATGAGCCCTAATTTTGCATTTGCTTCCTAGTACTGTAATTGCTTGATATGTCACTTTAGATGCATTTTATGTAGGAGCAACAGCACATGTTCCTGCCTGGCAGAATCTGGATTATTCATGCACATATTGCAGTGGGTTTCACAAGCTCTACAAAAACACATCTAAATTGGCAAGCTTTCTGACGCTTGGTCTTGCATCTTATCCACTTTGAAAGAGAAGGGAGTGCACCACCTATCAAATACCCATACTGAGATATACTGTGATAAGTGACTCCTCTGAATAATTGATTTAAGGGTCCAGGATATCTCAGAAAATTGTAACAATATGTGACACCTTCCACCTTGATGTTATTAAAGAAAGGGCACAACTTTTACTCTGTAAAAACTGATACAAAATGACTAAATGGTCTCAAGTTGAACATCATCCTATTCTGAGTTTATTTCTGCAGAATTAAAATTTCCCTGTGATCAGTGTCAATATCAAAAACTACAAATGGCATCTTTAGGAAAACAGTCTCAATGGAAAATGCAGCTACAAACGACCCTGGATATATAGGTACATTATTACACATGGAGGTCTTATTATTCCTAGCAGTCTTACTCAGACAGAGCTGAAACGTCGGTATAGATGTCAGTGCAAAAATGATGCAGTGCCTGAGAAAACTCCTAAAATTTCTGTTCACTCTGCATCACTTGTCTACACTGAAGACGTGAGTTTTACATGGCTGTCAAACCTGACTTTTCTATCATTCAGCATACAAGCACTGAAAGAGCAGAGGAGGAATTACTCATAGATTTCATAAAAAGCAGAATCTTTGTTTATGTAATTTTATATGGTTGAAAGATAAACACAGATGTTGCATTTGCAGATATTATATTT